TATTTTCAGATGCACATTCTCACTTACAAAATCCCCCAATATATCAGACATTTGCTGAGAATAATGACCACTGGCTCCTCAGACCACGGCCAAAGAGAAAACTCATAAAACCACGTTTCCTAAGAAAAACTTCAGCATTGTTATCAATCAGCCGTATGTGTCTGAGCATGTGTTTATGCAACCATGTGGGAGGGGAGCTCACATTCATTTGCTGATGGGTTAAAAGGGCCACACGTGTTTTAAATGTCCTGTGGCCTTGTAAATACCTTTCAGTGATTCATGGCTGACAGACGTGCAGCAGAGGTAGATGGAGGCTTGTGGATGGGTGGGGAGTGGGATGATAGCTGGTGTCTGCTTTATTTTTTCATCACAACATGGTTTCTTTCACTAAAACCAAAACCTGGTGCATAATCTGCAGATATTTGTAAAGTTTCACTAACGTGGAGGTCGTTCCAGCGTCTCGTTGATTTTCTAAGCTCGGTGATTTCAGTGAAAGGCCGTGACAAAGAGGAGAGAGTGACAAAGCAAAGGAGGGAAAATTACTTTACTCCCTCATGCGAGCTCTGCTTCCTGTCTGGGAATCATTAGTAATGCTGGGGCCAGACTTTGGGGGGAGGAAAGCGGAGGAAGGGAAGAGGGAGAGAGATGAGACAAAAGGAGACCAGAGAGTTGACAAGGATGCCGCCGTCGCCGCAGGAAATGTCACCCTCCGCCCCTTTTTTTCTCTGTCAGACACGGGATGATAAGTCGCAGGTTTCGGAGACCCGAGAGATGAAATACAAACCATTTACCACGTACATTTTTCTGGGATATGGTAGACTGCAAATCTTTTGGGAATTCAGACAAAAAATTTATAACATCTGTGCTTATTGCTTTTTGATGAAATGTTCAATACCTCCCATCGTCCTATGTGCAGAACTTTCTGTACTTTCCTTTCACTTTCTTTAGAATGCTTTGAAACCAGCATTCACCTCAACATTCACCTCAACATTCACCTCAACATTCACCTCAACATTCACAGTGCAGTTGAAGATGCTAAGTGAATCTTTTCACCAGTGATTGAAGTTCAGAGGAACATGGCACATTGCATTTCCAAGTAAATCCTGTTTCACAAAACATTACTTTTTCAGAATCAGGTCCAAAATAAAATGACCAAATTCATTGGATGCATCCTCCTCCAACAGTTACTGCTGCTCAAGCAGATTTTCCAATTTGTGCATGTTTGAGGGTTTTTACTGTGACATTTGTCCATTAGTAGGAAACTTGAACCAGTTATTGCCACATTTGCACTGATTAGTGTCAGTCTACTTCTTGTGAATAAAGCCTGTCCCATTTTCATCTTGTAAACTGGCTCAGAGCTGTGTTATGATGTGAAACTGGACGAATGAAGCAACACTGAGCTGACGCATTATGAAAAAAAACTTTATTTCAAAATAAACAGGTCAATGCAATTACTCTTGACATTGTAAATAAAACTGCTGTTTGATTTGTGCATATGTTTGATAATTGATACATTACAGTTGGTAAACCCATTTTAAAAAAAATAATATATATCAAAATCAAGTAATTACCATTACTTGATTATTAATTATTTCAAGAAATAACTCAAAAAATAACTTTCATCTGAGATGTGCACGAGTTTGAATAAAAGATCAGTTGTCAGCTCATTTTTTTTGAGCTACAGGATTTAAAACTGAAACCTTTTGTAATATTGAGGTTTAATTTTTTTTGATTTGATCACCAGGATTCTTCTGTACACTTCAAAATGATGAAGAAAAGAAGGACTTTTATCTCAGAACAGAGAGTTGAATCTTCTTTGAAATGCTGATACTGGCAAGATGTGGAGCCCACATGTTCAAGGCATGCCCCAGCATGCTGTGTTGACAGCCCTCTGGGTTTAGCATGTACACACACACACACACACACACACACACACACTATGTTCTGTAGATTCTTCAGGGTGCGTGTGTGTGTGTCTGCATGTGTGCAGCCTTCCTGCAGGGCCTGTTGACACATTAGAGCAGATTGGTACTGAAGAAGTGTTGCCTGGGGCGCAGCAGGTTGTCTCATGCATCGTCTTCACAGGTGCATCCCTGCTGGGAAAACCTTTGGATTTAAATGTTTATTCAAAAGTTGCATTAGAATAAAAATGCTTTTTATGTATTTTGAATGTAGAGTAGCCTTTATCCTTGCATGTTACATTACTTCGCAACTTTAATGATTATAAAATGCCATTAAAGCCCTCCAGCCCCATACAAAACCCACAGACGCAATAATATTTATGCCACAGTTTATTCTGCAGCTGCATTTAAACATAGTTAATTAATGTCCCAAATAATAATCCCTGAAAATCTCTCCCATTCCTTTCTCCTGGTTTTGTTTCAAAATGTTGTTTATTGTCATGATCAACAACTCCTGCATCTAATGACAAAGTAATAACTCTTCTATTTGGATTAATGATGCAGCCATTAAATGTTCCCAGAGCTTAGTTTGAGACTTCTTCTTCGTGCCTGTCTGGCTGACATTAAAAGCTGCTGAATCATTTATAGACAAAGACTGATGGATTGATGGCAGGACACATGGACCCTCTGAGATCCTATATATCAGGGCTCATGTGCTTGTATATCTGTTTATGTGCTCGTGGTCATGGGTCAGAGCAGGGAGATGCGGTTCAGCAATGAGCAGCGAAACCTTCTGTTATTTTCTGTGCATCGCTGCTTCTTCAAGCAGAGCTGACGCTACACAGGCTTTGTAGATAATCCTGAATGTTTTACCCTGCAACATGTGCCAGATGTGAGGAGTTCACGACACCGGCAACACAATGAAAGCTTGATAAACTGACTCCCAAATACTTTTATTGGCAATGAACATATCGTACTACAAGACGAGCCCAACCCATCTGGCATCTTTTCAGGATAAAATGAACCATCAAAAACATCTACAAGCACTGATGGACCCAAGAGCGCTTGAAGTCGCTGAATCCAAAAGAACGGCAAAACATTCCTGCCAAGTCTGCAGACAGGGTTTTGGTTGGATTGAGCTTTCAGCTGAGATACGAGAGTCCAACAGAGCCAAGATTACTGAGTGTGTTGAAGGCTGGAACAGTGTGTCCTCTGGATCTACTGTACGTACAGACCAGGGATCTGTCTTTCAGCGCCTCCCACTATAGAACATTCTCCATGTTTCCAAGTGGAAAAACTGCTTCTAGACATTAAACATTGTTGTGACACAATTCTAGGCTCAGAGTTCCGACGCATGAAATCACCCTATTCTGTGTTTTCCAAGTTTTTCTACTTCATAGCAACAGAACAAGAGCAACAAAATAGAAATATTAAAAGGCGAAGATATCCCATCCAACACAGGTCTCCTCTGAGTTGAAGTGATTTCAAGTTCTGTCATACTGTATGCGAGCACTGTAACCACTGGCCTGAAGCTGTACAGTGTGTCAAAGCGGTGGCTGTTTTGTGGACGAGGACTATAATTACAGTTTGTGTTGAGAGAGTCATTCTCAGCCGTGATCCTTGTGACCTGATGTAACCCGAACTTGTATAATTCTACATCAGCACTTCTCCGTCTCTTGCTTTCTCGCTTATTCTCCGAGAAACGGACCACGAAAAACACGTACATTACGTAAACGTAGAAAGAACTATGTACAACCTGCTGTAGACTTAAAACATGAGCTTAATTCTTTATCCCCAGTTCTTAAAATACACAAATAACAGACAGTAAATGAAGATGTACATCATATGAAACGGTACAGAATGACTTTTGACTACCATGGTTTTGGGTCAGTTTCATCATCCTAGTCATAATGTTCAGGTTAAGGGCTGCTGCAGACCAACTGCTCCCAAATCATTTGTTAGCGGCCGCGGCTAAAATCCGCCCTTCAATTATTGTGGCACCGAGAGGGAAGCAGCAGCTTTTGGCTTCACGCTTGACAAGCAGATTGCTAGGTCTTTGAGACTTGAGTGTGTATTTGTGTATTTGTGTGTGTGTGTATATGTTAAAAGGTCAGGGAGTTTTGCGTGGATGTACAATCTGGATTTGAATTTGTGTTTGGTTCAAAAGGGTTGTGGTTGGGTTTAGAAATACATGACTAAATGAAGAAGCAGGATTCTCCCACTCACTCTGGACGCTTGCCTCTTCCTTACTGTATCTTCTGACACACAATGACACCATGGAGTTCTTGGCAAACACATTTTACAGACATTTCACAGATGCGGGCGACACCTTCTTGCTCTTTCGACCTCATTTGGAGCCAGAGTCTGTGCAGTAGCCATCGTGGTGTGGAGCTGCTGTATCAAGGACCCGGCGCTACATGTGCTTGACCAATCACGAGTCGGTCTCAGCTGTCGATCATGAAGTTTAACCTCATTTTTAATAAACGATTAACACACAGTGTGATAAGAAAAGAAAAAAAAATTTCATCTTTGAGAAAAATGTATACATTATTTTATTTTTTAGCTAAAAATGATTGATGTTAAGTTAAGTAAGTTGTGAACCACTTATTGGAGACAAACCAGAAGTACACCAGGAGTGGCATCACTACTTTTGGAAAAGCAGTCTTGAGTTTCTGTTTGTTTTGTCTTATAAAAAAAAAATCCCTAAACTTCTCACAGAGTTCTGTTTTGGCTTCGCACCAACCTCTGCTCTGTCACCTTTGACCTTCTGCTGAAAAACAGCACTGTTAAATAGCTTATTAAGCCGACCTCACTAAATTGTTTCACCCAAGTGTTTATCTCTCCAGCCCCCAACCCTTCACCTTTGACCTTTGCCTCTCTGGACTTCATGTCAGTGTCTCTTGTTCTGTCTTTCTCACGCAGCGTCCCTCTGTCCGCCTTTGAGTCGCTGCCACGCTGAAAATCTATTTTTCCCTCTTTTCTTTTCCTTTGGATTATGACAGTAAATCAGAAACACATAGTTACTCAAAGTAGTTTACAAACTAATCACAGACAGACTGTCTCCACGCAAACCTTTGAACTGTGTCCTCTCGTCCTCAGGCTCCCTGCTAGCAGCACCATGAGGTCGGCCTGTCTCTCTCTGCTCCTCGTCACCGCCTGCTGGGCTCTGCCCTTCCGCCAGTCTGGCTTCCTAGACTTCATGATGGAGGATGAGGCGGGATCGGGTGATATAACTCCAGTTTTGAGCTTCCCTCCCATGCCTGATGGACCCAAGTGCCCCTTCAGATGCCAGTGTCACCTCCGTGTGATCCAGTGCTCTGACCTCGGTAAGAAAAGACAACTGTATGGTCCCATTTATTTCATTTGGTAAACATGCAAATTCCATTTAAGTGTACAATTGTAGATGATTAATATTATTCAAAATTTAATATTCAAAACATTAAATCAAAGATTAAGGAGCTCCAGTCTGTCCTGGAGAAATCATCAGGGTGACATAAAGACAGAACAGATCCCACACACTATGTCATAGACTTTCATTTCATCATTTATACCAATAACTACAATTTTAATGTTCCACATTTTTTAGTGGTTCATTAAAAACACTGAGTCTGCGTCCAATGTGAAAGTCTCTGGCTTTACAAGCCTGCCTGTCTCCACCACCCACCCTAACTCACGGGGTCATTCCAGGGGTGTATTATGTTTTGCATTAGACTCACGTCCCCCAGAGTACATGACACCAGTGTTGATAAGTTAAATGCTCCCAGATGTGAGTCTTATTCCACTTCCTGTAACAATTACAGTATTTCCTCTCTCTTGGCAAAATGTTTTTCGAAAACAACGATGAAGATTAAAGGTTAGCCCGGAGAGTCTTGAAACAAATCTTCAAATGTTCCAAAACCTGTCTCTGAATGTAACGCTTATCCGCACGTCAGCTTTTTGTCCCAGGAACAGTCACAACAGTTTACTCAGTTGTGATTGTCAAAGTTTGGAGTTGATCAGTTCTGTTTGTTTAACCTGATGTATAGCGAATACAAGAAGAGCTTGAGTCATCCCATAAACTTGGCCACAGAAACGTCCCTGACCTCATTTATTCTTGTAGGTTACGTACAGCCACTTCTCAACACAGTAGGGTTTGGCAGTTTTTTTGCTCAGCCTTTGTTTGCAAAGGGAGGGGCACAAGCTGCGAGGAGACAGATGAAGATGAGGGGGCTGACACAGATGGACAAACTGGGAGGATAAGATAAAAAGAGAAGACATGCACCAAACTTTTCTCTGAAAGTCTGTATGTGGGATCGCAAATGACTGAGTCAGTTGTTCTAGAAATTTCCTGGAACTTTTCCTGCCAACATCATCATAAAATGTCAGAGTGAGCCCATGTAAGAATACAAAGTGGGTGTTGATGTTTCTGACACGCGATCTCAGGAGAAAGATGCTACAGATTCAGGACACAGATGAGGCGAGGATCATAGAGGATGTAGACAGACAGGTGGCGGAGGAGTCAGAGCGACAGACAGTTGGAGTTAGTGATGTGCAGGAAAAGATTGGTTCCATTACATCAGCGCTGCTGCCGGGGCCCCAGCCATCAGCAGCAGCAGCAGCAGCAGCTCTCCCCCAGAGATGCAGCTCATTGGCCAGATTCTCAACTTCTGCATAGGCGATGTCGGCCCCACTCCTCCATCTGTTCCCCAGACCTGCTGGCATCCACGCAAACACACACTCGAGACACACACAGGAACAAACATGTGCATTTATTTGGACACACACACCCAGACCTGTGCAAGGCAGAATCTGCTCACCATCACACACGGATACGTGTAGCTCGGTTTTTCCCAGTGCATCTGCTTCTGGCAGGATGATTGAAGAGAAAACTTAGCCCAAGTTCAAATGAGTTGTGATTACATTTCCTGTTGCGTGACTCAAACAACAGCTTTTTGTTCTTTCTTAGAAATGTAAAGTTTACTCATGTGCCATTAGACGGATTGAAAAATCCCGATTTTATGTGATTGTGTAAGATGTGCAGTCACATCCACCCACACTTCTGGATGACCCAACAAAAACTCCAAACTCACTCTAACCTATGAGGCAATCAGGCCTTAACGTGACGTCTTCACTGGGCCAGAGCACCGGACCAGAGCAGGATGTCACATAAACACAGAAAGAGCTGAAATCAGTCCTGTCTAGTCCAAAGCAATCATTCGCCCTCTATCCCAATTACTCTCTTTTAGAATAGAACCAATCTGGGTAATATTTAAGTAAAATCCATTCACCAAAAGCATTTACATATCTTTAATTTCACTGATTCCACACACACGTTTTTACAGACCCATTTAAAAGCTGCACAATGGCAAGAATACATCTGCAGAAAATAATTCTAGCTAATTGGTTTAACTGAGACAAAATGGAGAACAGATTATACAAGAATATTCAAAAGTGCAAAGGCTGAGAGAGTCTGAGCGAGAGAACAATGAGAAATGTCAGTGATAGCATAGAGGTACGTAGTGCGGTGCTGTAATGATGGTGGTGACCACAAACAGCTGTGATGGTTTATGGGTCATCCACTGCCGAGTTGGACGAGCTGACAGAAAAACAAACCTTGCTGAAAGCAATGTTTGGGTGAGCTTTAACAGAAGTCCTCACGAGCTCTTTGGACAAAACGTTAAACAGTTTATTCTATCCTCTTCCTCTGAAATGTAAACTGCACATCATGAATCTCAGTGTATTTTTTTTGTGTTACCACGGATGCCTTAAAGCACACACAGTAACTCCCAGCTGCCTTCACTCCGTTTTTAAAAACAGTCCCGTCAGCCAAACAGACTTTCACTACAGATGCTATTTTCTGTGTCACATCAGCCATGACTACCACAATTCAAGTCCAAGCTAAACGAGCGAGTGTTCGCTCAGTGTCCAGGTATGCAGGCGCTTATGCTCACTCTGAAGGAAATTTGTTTTAAGGTCCATTTTGACCATTTCTGCCTCAGAGCACATCAAAATGTTATTAGGTCGCTGAAGGACTTCACCATAAAACCCACCATGCATAAGACCCTGTCATTGAGACTTTGTGTAGCGTGCTACACTGACAAAGCAGACCTTGTTATTTCTGAGTGTTTCTACTGTAAATGCCATTTAACTCAGTTTTCTGATTCTGTCCATATGAGTTTGGGTTCACGAGAGTTTAAAAGAGCTGAAAGTCTCAGAAAACCTTTTTAAAAATCTGAAGTACTTCTCTACAGAATTTATTTTTATGCTTTAATAAACAACATATTTAGTTTAAGTTTAGACTTTACCGCACAAACAGTGGCCCACATTTAACCAAACAATATGCCTCATCACCAGGTCTGAAGGCCGTTCCTGAAGACATACCTTCCGACACCACCCTGCTGGACCTGCAGAACAACAAGATCACTGAGATCAAGGAGAACGACTTCAAGAACCTGAAAGGGCTGCACGTAAGAGACGTTTTACTTTCCGTCTGCAGAGCTGCATGTGTGTTCACTGTGTTACTGCCAAGGAGGATATGGTTTCACCCCTGTCAGTTTGTTTGTGAGCAAGATTTCACGAAAAACAGCTGATCGGATTTCCACGAAACTTGGTGGAAGGATGCAGCACGGCTCAGTGGAGAACTCAGTGAATTTTGGTGCAGATTCTTTAACACTGCTATAGATGGTGCGTCGTTCCCAAAGAATAAATCATGGTTCTTAAAAGAAAATCAGAAACATTCACAGAACTGATTTCTATGCATGTTTGATATTTGGTGCAGCTTGATTGAATTTAAGGAGACTGTTGGCAGAGGTTTGCGCTCCACTGAGTGCCATTCTAGTCACTAATGTTATGTAATGTGGTCTTATGTAACCATTACACTCACTGCAGCCTCTCTTCATTATGAAAACCGGATGATCACCATGAGAATAAAACAGATGCAACAAGAGAAACCGAGAAATATACATGTGTGTGTGTGTGGACAGATTGTAAGCAGCTGAGATAAGTGTGTTGCCTAAACACTGTCAAACAATTCACAGCTCGGAGAGTAAATCCAATCGATAACCATCAATCATCTTCCCCCCGAGTTCTCTCCTCCTCTTCCTGCCCAACACTCCTGTCCTCCCAGCTTTACCAGAAGCATAGAATCCCCCAGTCACCAGGTGCATGGAAACTATTCACCCATACGCCGTACAGTCTCGCAGCCCCACACCTCCAAACTACTGCAGCTTTCGTGCTCGCAATAAATACCTCTGTCTGACAGCTGCGGCTGTTTCCACTGTAATGCAACTGGCCTCTCAAGGGGAATGGACCACATACCTTACGTTGGCTTGCTTACACAAGAGTGGAACAGCAGGATTGGGATTCCTCTGAAAATGCATTAACTTAAAGTAGCCTCAAACCTGGCCGTCCATTTTAACAAAGCAGACACCAGGTTCGGGTATCATTGAGCCGCTGAGCTCCAGATGTTTTGTTTAATCTAATTCGGAAAGTGCATATTTTCTACAGTCCTGTGGTGCTTTTTGCAGCAATGATTGTTTCTGAGGGGAAGAAGTGGTTCAGATTCCATAAAATTGGGTTATAAACGGTGATGTTAACAAAAAACAGACTGGATTTGGAAAAAAATCTGTAAACTAATACCCAGAGTTTTGACTCCGCCACATTAATCCATTAAATGTTTAATGCCGGACTTGAATTTATCTTTTGAGTAGAGATGTTCGGATACGATTGTCCCCCCCCCGAAGTAGGTTCGAATACCTGGATGTTGTGTCTCGGCCGATACCGAGTAACAATCTAAAACTATATGGCATATTGCTAGTGCTTTCATCTCTATCCCTCGCCATTTTACTTGTGGGACTTTAGTTAACGCTATGGTACTGGAGATCACGATCACGTTAAACACCGATATCTCGTCTCTCTTGTATTCCTCTAATATAGGCTCTGATTCTGGTGAACAACAAAATCACAGTCATCCACGCCAAGGCCCTGAGCCCTCTGACCAAGCTGCAGCGTCTGTACCTGTCCAAGAACATGCTGAAGGACGTGCCCGCCAACATGCCCAAGAGCCTGCAGGAGCTCCGCATCCACGAGAACGCCATCACCAAGATCAAGAAGGCCTCCTTCCAGGGCATGTCCCATATCATCGTCATGGGTACGGGATTAAAAACACTTCCTGATGTGCTTAAGAATATTTGTTTGGATAGTGGAAAGGGTTGACAGAGAGGGGGAGATTTTCCAGTAGTACATCACATCCTCTGAGGAACTGTATGTCCAGGATCTCTGGATGGAAGCTCAGCAGGAATGATACAAATATTTACTCAGGGTGAAACCAGTGTTTTTCTCTGAGGTTGGTTCAGACAAGGACATCTGAATGAATCGTGTGACCTGTTTCCACCACAATAAATTTACTGGGAACGTTTTTTTTTTTTTTTTTTAACTCTACCTGTGTTTTAACCAGAGGAACCAGGGTCTAGATTTATTTTTAGGGCCTCAGGACAGACGTGTCTGGGGACTGCTCAGATATTTTCAGTCTCTCTCCATCTCAACAAATCGTCTCGGGTCTTCAGATGTGACTAATGGGAATTCATTGTCATAGCTGGTTCTGTCTTTGGGCCTCATATTTCCTGGACTCTTTGGTGAAAGGAGTCCTCCGCCGAGTTTACAGATCAGGCTTCACAAAGAACTTGCTGCTCGTCAATGAGGAAATCTTTTACACCACTCCATTATCAGCCTTCGTTCAGTGTTGATCAGAGCTGCTCTACATAGACAAACTCCCAGTCAGGTGTTGAAATAAAGGTTTATCAATGAATATCAATTCTCAATGGTTAATGAGACTCATCCACAAACACAAGTAGAAGAAAGGTTTGATTCTGAGCGTTTCACTGCTGAGGCCAGATTTCCACAGCGTACTGTACCTCTGACTTTTCAAACTTACAGTTCTACAAATTAAAGTGGTAAAGTCAAAACAGCAGGGAGTGAAGAAAGTGTGGATTTGGTCACTTAGAATACAATAATGTGAGAATCATGATCCCACCGTGACAACTCTGGGAATCTGCTCTGGAATCTGTGTTTCAAACACAAGCTTTTCTCTTGCACAAGACTTTGTTTACTCGTGACTCAGCTTCCCGTAACACACCAGGAAGGGAATTAACTCCATAGATGTGATCCATTACTGCTGTTTTCTTCTTTCTTTCTGTGGTCTCAAGCGCTTCTTTTCTTTTTTCAGAGCTCGGGTCCAACCCTCTGAAGAGCGCTGGAATCGAAGCCAGTGCTTTCTCTGACCTGAAAAGAGTCTCTTACATTCGCATCGCAGACACGAACATCTCAGAGATCCCCAAAGGTACGCGGCTGATATCTTTTTCCACAAAGAATTTGGCTTTATCAAGTTAAACTCGGCCAAAAACAACAATCTCCTTTCAAAAGAATGCCCGCATGGATTTCAGTCTGCAGTAAAACAAAGGGCTTAAAGTGGAAAGAAATTGCTGCGTAATGATTCGAAACAATCCCCTCTCACACCACATGTGTTTAATAAAATGATTCATGTAATGAGAAGTATTTTTAAAGTAATTTGATTTGAACTTCAACGTCTCAAAAACAAATTGCGATAACAATAATTTTCTATGTAAACATGCTTCCATCCCTTTCTTTAAGCGACCATGATAAAGAGGAATATTTCCTGAGTCATCTCTCAGTGTTTGACTGTGATCTTTGTCTCGGGGGTTGTCAGGTCTTCCCAGCTCTCTCTCTGAGCTCCACCTGGACGGAAACAAAATCACCAAGGTGACAGCCGACAGCTTCAAGGGCCTGAAGAACCTGGCTAAGTACTGAAACTTATCACCCTCTTCTAAAAACGTTAATCCACGTCAACCTTACGATTTCCTTTTGACTTTGACTTTTAGCGTCTGACCTTCCTGAACTGTGGCAGAATAATTCCACATTAAATTTACCTTTGTTACCGTTAAGTGATGTCTACCGGTCTCGATTGTCATCATGTATTACATTGACTGAAGAATTGTGTGAAAAAGTGTAACTGTCATTACCACTGTGTGCCCTGAATGTTCTTGCACAACGTAACTAGTACAAGCAGATCGAGCCCAGCAGGTGAGAGAGTAATGCTGAAGTGTAGATCAGTTGAAAATAAATTATAAATCATCGAAAACCAGTTTGACTCCAACATTCAACAAGACAACGTCTAAAACATCAATAATTCAAAATGGAGATTGGTGTTCTGTCACAGCAGTCACTGCTCTGGTTGGGGAAACTGGAAATCATGAGGAAAATGAAGCTGAGCTATATTTCAGTTCAGTGAGTGAGACGACGCCAGTTAATCACTCACTTTGTTTTCTGTCCATTAAAAACCGTTTAAACTGCTCAGACTCGGAGCCAAACAGAGTTAATTACTTGAGGCTGCAGACGCTGCTGTTGTTCAGCAAAGTTTCTGTGGTGTTGCTTTTGATTCCTAATGAAATCTCAAAGGTAATTTTTCATATGTTAGTGTTTTGCATTATGTATTTCTTGTGCTGTTTATATCATCTGACAGTTTTCCACTTTGTGTGAGATGTTTCAGTCTCACTCAGGAGCCGGCTCTGCCATCAGCTTTCGTCTGATTTACTCTACAACAAAACCTAAACAGTAGTTTTTGGATAATCAAAATAACTGGTTTGCTCATTAAACTGGTTTAAGTGTGTTTGTAAGATCATGAACATGAACTACCAGAACAAAGATGTGTCTCTGTTGCAGCTTGAGTACGTTGATTTGTCAGAAATTGATGTGACAATCTCGTCTTCTTCTTCTTCTCACACGTCTGATCTTCTGACTTCTCCTGCAGACTGGGTCTGAGCTACAACGAGATCAGCTCTGTGGAAAACAGCACGCTGGCTAACGTCCCCCACCTGCGCGAGCTGCACCTCGACAACAACATTCTGACCAGCGTCCCCCCCGGCCTGCCCGACCACAAGTACATCCAGGTGCGGCGCCCGCTCCTTTGAATACACAACATGATCACAGGACGATTGTTGCAACCATTTCGTTTCTGCAAATCACAGTCATGTTGCTCATTTCATTTCCTGAAGTCTGATCACACACAACTCATCCTCCCTTTGCTGCTTTTGCTTTGTTTAGCTTCTCACTGCCCGATCACCAGTCATCAAATACGTCAGTAACAAACCTCACCTGGATTGATTTACTTTGTTTACTGAGGAGAGTGTCGGGAGCTTCTCGTACGATGTATCACAGTTTTTGGCAGAAGAGAAAACAAACCTGATTCCAGATCTTTTAACTTAAGCTTCGAGTAAACATTTATTAACTGGTGTACCAGTGTGGACGAGAAAATAGCTCCCAGCAAAGTGTTGGAATATAACAATGGAAACAGAATAAAACAAATCTAAAGCTGATTTAAAAAATAACCTAAAACATCATTTAAACAGTAGAAGGTTGAATCTCCTCTAACCAAGCTGCATATCTTTGTCACGTTGTTGTTTCGGTTAGTTTTTATTTCACGTTGTAATTTATGGAGCGGATTAAAGAGTTCAGTTTGACGAACGTGTCCTGTTGTCTCACACACGTGGTAGACGGCCGTGCGTTTGACGCCTCCTAAGAGACTCCAGCTTCTTATTTTAACTACAAATCTACAAAAGTTTTGAATGTTCATGTGATCTTCTTACACTCTCAGCCTGTTTTGTGTCTTTGGTATTGTTCCATTGGATATGATGCCAAATGTAATTCATTATGACCTTTCTTTGTGTATAATTTTGGATCTGGTGGCGTTGCACTCGACTTTTATTGTCTGTGTCGTTGAGTTTGTGGCGCTTTCCGTCTTTTGTTCTTATTTCTAGGAGCTTTCTCTTCCCCCTCACTGCTGCGTGTTCTCCCTGCTCAGCTGCAGGATGTGTTTCAGACGCTCTCATGTTCATTTACGTTTTTTTAGATGCTCCTGTTTTTTGTACGTAAAGCTTCAACTCTTTGGTATCTCAGAGTCTCCTCACACAGGAAGTCCTTTTTTCTTTTAATCAATGTTTTCAGTGAAACATCCTCCGTCATTATTTATTTCCTGACATATTATTATCTTCTTTATCTGCCATCCAAGTTCTCGTCAGTGATGGAAGATTGTCATTATTTAAATCCTTCCTCTAGGTGGTCTACCTCCATGTCAACAAGATTGCCGCTGTGGGAACAGAGGACTTCTGTCCCCCTGGCTTCAACACCAAGAAGGCCATGTACTCCGGCATCAGCCTGTTCAGCAACCCCGTGCCTTACTGGGAAGTCCAGCCGATCACCTTCCGCTGTGTCTTCGACCGCTCCGCCATCCAGCTCGGCAACTACAGGAAGAAGTAGAGCGTCCCGCGCGACCTCTGCAAGGAAGTGTGTGTTTGTAAATGAGTGTGTGAAAGTTTTGTAAGCGTGCGTGTTTGACCGCAGCCCCACAACACTGACCCCTTACCGACACTGCCTCCCCCACAAAACGATGATGTCAATAACTCACGCACTCGTTTCAAAACTTTAGTGGACATGGACCTCAAACACAACATATCATTTTTATTATTTGCAACAGTAGTACGTACACGGCTTACAGCAAACACCAGCATACGACGGTGACGCTCTCACTCACAGCACGTTCACAGTAGAACCAGTTTAGCAAACGTTAACGAAATATGTTCTCACATTCGCGCCACAGCATATTTATGTGCTTAATATGTTGAAATTCAGAGATGAACCCAAACCAAAAAGATTTGAAATCTGTCTCAGTGGAATATAACATATTGCTGTTGTATGTCCCAGTTTTTTGACTATTCTCCATTCTGACTTGTGAGAGCGCTGACCTGTAGAGCAGGCAGCAGGGGGTCAACTTGTGTTTTACCTTTAACAGCTGGTGTACTAGAATGTACTAGATATCACCTGTGTACTAGGAACAGCATCCAGAGTGTAAGATCACCACGCTGCACTCCAGGAAAGAAACAACTCAACGTTTCTATTTGTATTGTGCTCAATTCAAGTAGAGATAAAAGCAACCGTGACTTCTATCACATTGTGATTTCTTGTGTTTACTTCAGTGTTGATTTAGTTCTGGGTGTTCCCCTCCCCCCCACCTACTACCACCCCCCCCTTACCCGTTCTTCTCCCTCTGTGTGTCGTTCCATTTAAAAAAAAAAATTAAAAAAAGGTGAAAATAGCTTCTATAAATGTAGAATAAACCATGTATGTTTTAAACAGAAGCCATTCCCAAAGATTTATATGCATGCTCTTATTTTTTTTTTCCTTTCAACTTGAACCTGGTGCTTTCTGAAATCTCTTGTTATCGCGTGTATGTACGTCTCTTAATGTTTTCCTGCCTTTTATTTCTTTTTTTTTTAAGAGTTTGGAGGGTGTACGTGGACTGGCATGCCCACAGCACTCGTACTGGTATGAATGTTGTATGTATAGACGCTGTATATAAATGCTGTATAAAAAAAAAAAAAACAACCTCTCATCACTTAAAGGCACAAGCACTTACCATAGCGCAGACTTAATATATCAGCAAATATTTTTTTTCTTTCTCCGGAGCAGGGGCTCCAGCTAAGGTGTCCTGAACAAAATAAAAGTACTAATGGAAAAAGTAGCAGTTTTTGATGGATGGAATGAGCAGACGTTGCATAGTATGGATGATGTGAATGGATATTTGTGCCCGCAGTCACAGGGTGGCGACGCGGGAGCTACAGCACAAATTAGCACAGCGGCCTCCTGGGAAACAAGGTCAAGAGGAGGCACAGGTAAAACGCACACAGGTGAGAAACCGTGACACACAAGAAACACAAAAGAGCTTCATTCAAACGGGGCGTATCAGTGAAGGCTGTGGTGATTGGCTGATTCGAACGTGCGTGTGCAGTTTGGTGCTTATCCAAATAAAAATCAGGATCTAGAGAATTCACACCCAAACAACAGATATTCACTTTAGATGTTTCACAAAGTCGGAACACCTTTCAGCTGCACGTTGAATTCACGCTGGCAAAAGAAATCTGGCTTTTTATACATATTTCAGCTTCCAGCCGAGCCATCCATCACGTCCTCTCCTGTCAGACGCTTTGAACAAAGCGCTGGGTTCTTGTCATCTGGTAACAATAACGGCACAGATGTTACGACACACCAGCGAGACCAAACTCCTCCGTCCGGTCAAAGATACAGCTCCGGTTCTTCTTCTGCGTTCGGCACGTTACAGGTGTTCGTTTCACAGGAATCGTGTGTGTGATTAACCTTTTTGAATTTGATCAAAACAGCATTGTAAATGAAATCAGTGACAGAATCCCAAACTAGAACATCTGGTGGCTGGTGCTATTCCCAGCATGCATTGGCCAAGAGTCAGGGTCCATCACAGGATGTACTGTATATACATTAACAGGGCTTATATGCGTCTGTGTAAACAAATAGACAGCCGACGCATTCAGTTTAGAGCCTGCAGTCCCTCGTGTCTATGGTTTGTTGGAGGAAACTGGAGCTCCCTGAGGAAACCACACTGACACACAGACAACACACAAACTCAACACACTCCGGCAGGTTCAACAATAGGACTTGTTGCTGCACGGCAACAATGTCGGTCACTGAGCCGTCCCACCACCACATTAATCAAGACCACTCGCTTGAAGGGTTCACTTCTACTTAGCTCTAATTCATATCGATGGGATTTGTGGACCGAAGTGAACAAAAATATTTGCACAAGGAACATTTCTGGCCCGTGAGCCACCAGTGATTTATCGCCCTTCAGTCATTTACGTGACTGTAATGGGAAACATTTTGGTTAAAGAAAAAAGACGGAGCTCCCCGGAGACGTGTGGTGCTGGAGACTTCTGAAATATGTTGTATAGAAACGATGATCGTAAAAATGTCGATTTTTCTTTATTCTCATACTTCACTGTACGGTACATTTATCTATAATTACTTATTATTACTATTATATTCATGTATTTATTTATTAATATGGTTGTCTATATAATAGGAACAACAACAAAAACAAAACAATTGACCAAGAGGGTGTAGGCTAAATCTGAACTTATAATAATGATCAAAAATATAATAATCTTTATAGCACTTCTGAAAACAGCAGCAGAGTGCTTCACAAATAAATAAAACACACAAGTACACATGCATAAAAATAACTAATGAATGAAAACTCAGATATAAAAAGATGAAAACACTGAAATACAATAAAATAATAAAAACTAGAATTAGGTCAAATCAGGAAATGCTGCACAATGAAAGCACATTTAAGTTTTGATTTAAAAGAATCGGATTTAATTTGATTTAAAGGAAGGATACACATGACTGCACATAACTTACTTATTAACATCTCCAACACAAATACATAAGAGCCCAGTATCACAGTGAATCCTAAATGATGTATCAGTGATATAATCATTCATCAGCGTTCATATTTATCTACAACTATTTTTAAACAATATTTGAAAACTGAATTTCATTAGATTCTTTAAATTCACACTCAGAACTGTTCATATGACAAGAGATTGGAAATGTTGGAGGAAAACAAATAGATTAATCATATTCATTCTTTTATAAATAGCCCAGGAGGTACATGTGTCACGTATGGCACTCCACACAAAAACTGCCCCCTTCACTTAAAACTATGACTCTGAATCAAATTACAATTAATGCAAAAATAAAAATAGAGCAGCTGGTGTGACTGAGGTCTTTAGACTGAAAAGAAACGAATACATGAAAAAACCTTCTTCATTCTATAACTTACTATATTATTATTATTTTACCTTTAAATCATCACCCTGTAGTGAAACGTGTCACTTGAATGTGAGAATGAATTAAGAAACAATTGAAAATAAAGAGTCTCTTTAGAATCGGGAACATTTGAAAGTCAGACTCTTCAGCCTCTGATGTGACTCAGGTCTTGTGTGTTGTTTTTCAGACTGAAAAGCTTCAGTGTTTAAACTCTGGACCTCATCCCATCTGTTGCCCCCTGGTGGTGTTCATCAGTACTCCTTCTTTATATGCTATCTCTCTCTCTCTCTCTCTCTCTCTCTCTCAATGCAACTTGACCCCCTGGTCTGATCTGCTGCACCATCAGCACTTGGAGTTCTAGCTTTAGGCTCTGTGCCACTGTCTGTGTGTGTTGTGATTTAAGTGTTTAACGTGCCGATGCCGGTGTGTCCCTGCGTTAAGTTGTTGCCTTGTGGCGCTTATGCAACCAACGTAACCTGAGCTGCTTCCCCAAGTCTGAGTGCTGAGATCTCTCTGGAAAGCAAATGTGCAGCAGATTCGGGCAGGAGGTTATTTTCAATCCGTGAATCCTGACATTCACCAAACAGTCTGCGCATTTTATTGCTGTGTATGTAACATTTTATATCCAGTAGACCCGTAATTAGAAACTATATCAAATTAAACTTTATTTATATAGAACCTTTCATGCATGTTAGTGCTGCACATATGATTGACAATGTGATAATAAGACAGACGTGGAAAAAAGAAACAAGCAAGAAAAGAAACAATTCAAAATTACTATTTGAGATTAATGCATGCAGTAAATAAATAAATAAATAAAAATAAATTCAAAAATTAAATGCGTATAATAATAATGGCCAATAAAAGTGTGGAATAAAAATCTAAAATAGAAAAAATAAAGAAGTTGAGATAAAAGAGATACAGTGAGAATAAATAAAGTAGTTAATGATGAGAAATCAAAATGTGTAAAAGGCTGTTGTTCGTCAGAAGCCAGACTGAAGGGGAAGCTTTGTCGACAGACTCTGCTCCTCTGGCAGATACATGGGAGCCTGTGACTCAGGTGGCAGTGAAGGCTTGAGCTGATCTTCTTGGTGCCGGTCGACTCTTGTGGCACATGGGAGTCAATGCGACCGGGTGAGAGAATCACCCGGCCTGCCGGGGGATGAGAGCTTTAAGCGCTTACCACCCGACCGCATGGTGGGAACAGAAGGTGGTGTCTGGGCAACGTCTGAGATTTTATTAGAAGCTTCTGTGTGTCCGTGCCAGGACGTCTAAGAATATCCCTGTTTGCTAATATGCTTGCCTGGGTCTCCATCTGTGCACCTCTGTCGGAGCGCGTGCATGAGTATCTCAGTTGTAAAGTTTTTTCTCTGTGTGATGTTGACACGGATGATGGTTTGTGCAATGTCCCACGTGCCAGATCGTCTCGTGTGCCAGTTCTTACCTTTCATGTTCTGATTTACAGCGTTTGCAGTGTTGCTACTTGTGCCGTAAATCACACACGGAAAGTTCAAGTTATTCACTTGAAGGAAAAAAGATCAGATGTTGTTTTTAAAGAACCTCCACTGTTCAACTGTGACATTTCACCCCCTTTTTATAGTGTCAACAACAGAAACTTGAACATAAATCATTGTGATAAGAACCTCAAATGTCCCATCTGCTAACATGGAGAGAGCTTAACACAAGTCCTGCCTGTCTCGTGTTTCAAAATAAGAGCCTTGAAAAGGGATCGTTTCTAATCTCTTCCAAACATCGGTGTTGAGCGTCGCGTCCCTGCTCTGGTCCCCTTTGATAATTTTCTTAAAAATAAGATAAATTAAAGCTTCTGTTATGATCCACGACTTTAAAATCCAAACTATACAAATAATAAATGCTCTTACTGTGCGAAAACTACTAAAAAATGAGTTCAGAGCATTTCCTGCTTTGTTGATCAATCCGGCTTTAAAGTCAAAAGCTTTGAGGACAAAAAAAAAACTACAAGGAGCCATTAAAGCCGACTGTCCGAGGCGTTTCCACGTTTCTTCACCAGATACTGATCAAGTGATTTGTGACATTGCGTCATGTGGGCATGGAGGGGGGCTGGGGGCCCCTCCCCCTGCAGCAGAGGGTCAATCAGCGCAGGTGAGAGCTGTCAGCTGATTGATCCTGAAGACAGACATGAAGACAGACCCACGGGGACAGTCTGGAAGAGGCTGACACGAGAAGCCTGAAGCGGTTGTGTGGGATAATTTGTGTTTGTTTCATTTATGTTTGCTCACGTGAGTGTTCACAATTAAAATGCTGAAAAGCAACATGTCCGTCTCTGGCTGTGTGTGTGTGTGTGTGTGTGTGTGTGTGGGAGACCCCGGGGGCATCGGACATCACCACACGTTATTATAACCCCTCACAATTAGAGGAGAATCAAACAAACTGCAGTCAAGTTCAAACAAAGTATAAAGAGAGTCCACGTCTACCATCTGGTCGGATGGAAAGGACATAAGAGCATGAGACATCAACACAAAGCACAGTGACTAAGCTAAATGACAGAATGTTTGTTTTCCACAGCCGTCTGGAACAGCTTGAGTCAGGGTTCACGTGAAAACTTTAACAGAGATGGAAACACACCAACCTCAGCAAAATAAATGTTTTGGGCTGTTTGCTGACGAAGGGCTTGTGTCTGGAACAAAGGAGCAGATGCTTCTGAGGGGTTCGTCCATTCTTTACCCGTAGAAAGACGAAGGTAATGCAAGCAAATGACACATTCCCGTCCTTAAATTAAATTACAATCAGTAAATCGATGCCTTGAATTAAAACCATGAATCAGTGCAGTCGCAGGCCACATTGGTTGAATGGCACATTGAGGCTTGTCCAGTTCAGGGGCTGCATCCTAAGTAGGCTGCAACCTGAAACTTTCAAAAACCAGATGAACCGCAGGTAAAGATTGTTTCAGTTTCGGCTCAGGGTTGAGTTCCACAAATTCAGTTAAGATGGAGATGATCTGGGCACAGACAGATAATAGATGTTTGAGCTCTGTGACTTGGGTGGAGTGGTTTCTCAGTGAAAAGAGGTGAGATGACCTATCAGATGCTAGAATGGACATAACAATCCTGCAAAGGGAGTTGAACGTCTCAAATTACTGTTACGATTATCTGGAGTGGGAGACCGAGAAAAATATGCAGAAATCAAGACATTTCCCCTCTGACATTTGTTGGGAAATCAGATATTTTCGAGTAAGAATGTGAAGAATGAAGCTTTTCCACAAGATGGTCTCTTAGTGTGCTTTGCGAGTAGAGTAACAGACCGCGACCAATTAAATCCAGGTGTCAATTCCCAGCATGCTCTGACGGCTTGATGGATGTCCACCAGCAAATGGGAGAAACATTTGGCCATTTTCTCCCCCTACTCGGTTCTTCCTCAACTCCATCTTACAGATAAGTGGAACCCTACCCATGTTAATTCTATGACTACTTGCTCACTGTAGAACTGGAAGATTGCAGGGCTTTTAAGTGCATGGGCAAGAAAATGTGTGGGTGCAACACTGAAGAGAGGAATAATTCATAGTAAAGACACATGGGATCGATTGGATCTGCTTTCACCACCCACCTTTCATGCCCTCGTCAAAAACAGGAGAGATGTTTGCTTCCAGTGTTACGTAAGTCCTCTCTGGCCGTCTCATAACCTTTTTCTGTCAGATTTTCCAAAGCCTCATTCACAGCCCAGGAGGTACGATTGAATTTAGTCTTCTCCATAACCGGCGTCTGGGTTAAATGGCTGCCAGAGATCATTTTCACAATTTTTCCACACATGGCTTCTCCTGCCTTTTAAGACTTTTCCATGCGCCATCTACCCAGCGCCAAGGTGAACTTGCAAACACTTTGTTGGGAGGACAATAAAAAGAGGAGGTTGATTTGTGACGGTGGAGGAGTCATCAGTCTCTACAGATATTAAGCTTTTGAGGTGGAGTCCTGTTGCACCTGCTCCAGGTTAGTTAACAGTCTTTAGATGATGCTCCCCAGACATTTACACTGATGTCATCTTCGATTCATATGACGACTTGACCAACTCCAGGAAGCAGAAACCTCCTCTCCTCCCCCCTCCTCAGATTTTCCCTCTCTGTCTCTCCATCTACCTCTTTCTCTCTCTCTCTCKCTCTCTCTCTCTCTCTCCTCCCCCTCTCTCCCTCTGTGTTTTTCTCCAGAGACCTCCAGTTTTTGAACACCACAGTGTTCTTACCTACTGGCCCTCCACCCCACACACACGAACAGAGAGAAGCGCAGGTAAGCTTGCATATGGAGGCAAGGCTTTGTGATTTCCTGTTTGATTATTCCTCTTTATTTCTGTTGTCTGGATGGAATTATCAGATGGGCATGGGCTAGAGCTACAACAGAGGAGGCTAGAATACTAATGCATGGAACAAAAAACAAGTTTTAGAGTTTGTATATTGAATCAAGAAAATCGACGATGATGTATTTGTCTAAATCGTTACATGTTTATATGGATCTAAAGGGGCTTTTAATGACTCTTTCATAGATTTGGGAAACTTTAGTCATGGAAAAAAATCTGTTGCACTTGGATCCAGGGTCTGTCTGCATTTTTCATGGATCTGGAATTCATTATTCTGGTTATGCATTGTTTGCATGGTGGATTTTCTACAACAATGACCCTAAACTAGGTCTGGGTTTAGTTCTTCATGCACTAAAACACATCTTTAAGATTTCTAATACATTTATTATGTATGTATTTTGTTTATCATTGAAACATCTGCTTTGCTCCCATTGGTGGTTTATGTAGAAATCACTCAAGATGATAGTGTTGGAGCAGCACAGTTTGGTTTAAGCTACAATGATGTGGCTTGACACAAATAACTGAAGCAAGAAATCAGCTGACATGAACTCTTTATTGATTATATACACTAACACTCAGGAGAGTGGGTGTGGTTTGTGTCAGGGGGCAGGACTGTCATACGTTTTGTCATCTAAGTTTAAAAATGAGTTTTTCTTTCTTTTATTTACTTTATTATGTATGTTTCTGATTCATTTTGTGTTTAATCACGACTGATGTGCATCACACCTGCAGGGGTTTCAGTTAATCAACTGCATTTGTCCTTTCTTGTTGAAGATTCGGAGTTTATTGAGTTTTGTTACTCCAACCTCTAACTGTTCTATCTTTTTTCCCTGCCTCCCCTTCCACTCTGTTTGTTGGATCCCCAGGAGCCATGTCTCTTCTACGTGTTCCCCTGTTGGCTGTACTGGTCACTGTGGCCCTGTGCCAGTATTCTGATTACGACTACGAGCCTGTTTCCATGCTGGGACCATCAGGGCCCAACTGTAATCGTGAATGCGAGTGCCCCATCCTCTTCCCCTCTGCCATGTATTGTGACAGCCGCAAGCTCAAGTCTGTTCCCGTAGTCCCAACAGGGATCAAGTACCTGTACCTCCAGAACAACCAGATTGAAGAGATCACTGCAGGAGTGTTTGATAACGTTACTGCTGAACTTCGCTGGCTTGTTCTTGACAACAACCAGATCACCAATGCTAAAATAGCAAAGGGAACAATCGACAAACTCACTGCCCTGGAGAAGCTATTCTTCAGCTACAACAACCTCACAGAGCCAGTCATCCCTCCCTCAAAGTCCCTCGATGAGCTGAAGATAATGGACAACAAGTTGTCCAAGTTCCCCTCTGGACTTCTGAACGACAAAGAAAATTTGACTTCCATCAACCTTCAGCACAATCAGCTCACCTCTGATTCCCTCAGTGGGGCATTCAAAGGGCTGAAGAAGCTGCTGTCCCTGGATGTGAGCCACAACAAGCTGAAGAAGCTGCCGGCCGGTGTCCCCAGTTCACTGGAAATCCTCTATGCTGACTACAACGACATTGACAGTGTTGGAGCCGGATACCTGAACAAGCTGCCCGCGCTGCAGTACCTAAGGATCTCCCACAACAAGCTGGCGGACGGTGGGATCCCTGCTGGAGTTTTCAATGTATCATCACTGGTGGAGCTGGACCTGTCGTTCAACAGGCTGCAGTCCATCCCTGAGATCAACCTGCATCTGGAGCAACTCTACCTTCAGGCCAACGAGATCAACAGTGAGTGGCTATAAACTGCATTTTCAAATATTTCCTCAAAATGTCTTTTCTCGAAGGAGCGTCTTAAGCTTCATCAGTGACAGAAACAGAACAGAATATGTGGGCACACTACCTCTGTGTGTGATTTAGCAAAAAGTGTAAAATGCAGTAATACACATTTTGCTAACGTTACTGAGCTACACATTAGCTCCAGTGTGGTTTTGTCTGATGGTCAGGTTTAGCCTAAATCACATTTGATTGGATAAACTTATATTTGCCCAAGTTCAAGGTAAGTTTACCAAAAAAACAAGGACCCTCTTGTGAAAACATTGCTCTTCATTTCGTTTTTTTCTACCAACTTCCATAACTTTCTCTCCTTTTTTATTCTCTGCAGAGATCGACATGTCAAGTTTCTGCAAGTTCACTGATATAAACACCTTTTCCCATCTGAAGCATCTGCGTCTGGACGCCAACAACATCACACACAGCAACATGCCCCTTGAGTCTGTCATGTGCCTGCGCCAAGCTCAAGATATCATGTTTGAATAAGGACCTCCCTCCAATCTATGGCCTTTCCCTGACCCCTCTGTACGATCATGACAGCTCATCCCCTGTGGATTTAAATGTCATAATATCCCAACTTTTGAATTACGGACGTAGATGTGATTAAAATCCAGGGTATCATATGATATCTTTATCAATTAAATACAAACAAATCTTCAACAAATCTAAAGTTGGGTAAATTGGAAACATTTTGAAAAGGTTTTGGTAACATATCTTGCAAAAAGTCAACTTCAGTCAGCATCAAGCAAGTAAATACAAATGAATATTCATGTTGAAATAAAAATAAAAATAAATAAAATTACAATAAACAATATAAAAAGTAAATTAAAAAAAGTTCTATAAAAAGAAATCAATGTGTATGCTTTGATATAAAAAAGAACACACACTTTAAACATTCCTAACTTGTGATTGAATACAGATATAACGGAGTAAGCAGCAGCTTAAGTTCTCCAAAGTCTCGTTTCAGATGTTGCGTCACTTTGTTGTCTGTCTTGTATGTTCCAGTGTTTAGCATGTAGAATATAATATGGGTACAATGATGAATCCATTGCTGTGCAAAGGACCAGCTATAATAAGGATTGCATACTCAGTGTTTAATGCCTTTGTGAGAAAAGATGATCAAATTGTAAAATAGTTGCAGTTGAATTTTCAGTATCTTACATGATTTTTTGATTCCAGCGTTAATTCCTTGTCTGTCAATATTTACCCACTTGAAACTCCATACCTATATTCTAATGAGTCCCAGTGATTGACTCCATTGATAATCATTCCTGTAGTGAAATGAAAATGTCCATTGTCTTTAGGGAATCACTTCAAGCCCTAAACTACAGCAGGATTTACATGTTCCTGGTGTTAGGAAATAGAATGAATGACACAAGTAACACTGGTGTTATCCTCAAAAATACTTCCTCTGACTGAATGTCTCTTTGTTTTTCAGAACTCATGAGTCAAATTTTTTCTTTATGTGACTTTAATTCCTCTCTGTCCCCTGTCATGCACATCGCTGCTTTGTATACTACATTTGCATTACTTGCATGCATCCCATGGTACCATTCTTTGATAATAAACTACAGCTTTTGCAGTTAAGGTGTTTTGAAGTTGATAAATGCTTTTTTTAAAGAAGAACAATACAAAGTCAACTTGGCAGCGCGGTCATGTTGATTGAATTCATGTTCTGAGAAAATGACATTTTGTTCAGGTTTGTCTTTTCATCGTGATTTCTCATGTGGCCTTTGACTCGGTTACTGCTCTTGGATTTTCTGTGAGGAAACCAAACACAGTTGAATAAACTATGTTTCCAAAATATTTGTATGATATCGCTTTTTAAATTTCCTGTAGTTAATGTAGAGCATGTATGGAAACAAAATGTTAAAAACATAGATGCTCTGGCTTGATTATATTATATTATATTATAATATATTACATTATATTATATTATATTATATTTTAAGTAGAGAAATGTTTGGGGTCAGATAATAAGCAATGGCTGGTGTAGTAAAACTTTTAATTACACCATAGTGGTAGTGTAGTAAAAGTGTTTAAAACATATAAAATAAAGTGACCATATTTGGTTTGTATAAATGCCCAGATTTGGGCATATATATATATATATATATATATATATATATTGTGTATATTATATATATATATACTGTATATGGAAGGCCTATGTATATATATGTATATGATTGGTCAACATCAGAAACTCTACTCTTCTAGTTTTAGAAGCAAGTAAACAACAAGTTTAATACAATATTGTTGTGTATTGTATTGTCCACAGAGATAATTCAGTATCAAGCAGATATGTGTAGCAGCAGATATCAGCTGAGTAGTAGAACAGAGCAGGATTGGTTGCAGAAAGCTTCTGTCTTCCTTTCTGTTCTGTATCTTTGTGATGAGGTCGTTGTGTTAGCCATGGTTCACAAAGGGAAAAATAAGCTTTTGAGATGGATGGAAAGTCCTTCCAGGTATTATTCAGAGCCCGTACTTGTCTTTATTCACTGTTAACGTTCATGGCCTAGTTGTTTTTAAATCTCCCTACATTGTGGTTTTAATTTCATCCCCCTGTTTTCACTCTGTGTCGCTGAAGCCGTTCGTTTACATACAATCATCTTTGTTCAGTTTATAGCTGAAGTCAAACAAAGGCTGCTGGTCCTGGAGGGATGCAGGGTTTGCAGGGTTTCACTCTATTCCTGCAGCTTTAAGATATGTTCTGTGTAAATCTACCGTTCACTGTCTCAGACAGAAACCACAAATTATCTACGGCTGCTTGAAAACTATTTTATTTGGTCTGTAAAGCTTCGACACAGAAAGGTTCATATTAGTATCCCTGAGGGAGGACTTTAGCTTTACTGTTTCTAATAAGACACATCATAGTTTGCATATTTGATTGTTTGAAGATCTGCCTGCTGAACCATTTTAGGAACAATGCATGAAGATTAACAAGGCTATATCCTGCAGAGAGAAACAACATTAATTAATCTATTTTCTCTCACAGGTCATTTGAAAACGATACTTAGCAATGAGAATTTTAGGTTTTCTGTTCAGGTTTTTGAAGGTGGAATGTTTTTTTGTCGTGTGGTGATTGGAAACGTGTGAGAAATGTGTGTTGAACGTTGAGCCAAAAGGAACGAAAACCATAAAAACCAGAACATTCCTTTTAGTTTCTGCATCATGTTTCAAAAGCTTCCAAGAATCAATCTTATTTTGTTCTTTTTTCATAAGATTCACCGCTACCCCACATTTCTTACAGTACTCTGGATATTGTGTTTGTGAGCTTCTTATTATCAGGTTAAACTATAGTTCAAAACCAGAAGTTGTGCATGTGTTATTGTATCACTTCCTCATAATAATGGCGAACTGAAACTGGACCAAGAAGATGAGTCTGGATTCAATCAGACCTGGAAAAGTCTGTTTTTCATTTGTGTTTTTTTCAAAAGACACTTTGCTCGATTTGAGATCATTTAATTCTTTGTCTTTTCGGTCTCTCGTCCTTTCCTCCACTGTAGATGGTTAATTATGATAAAGACATTTAAGTGCTGGGAATGACAGAAATATAGGTTCACTTGATACGACATCAAACGACAGCCCCTTGTGATATATGAACGCACTGACACTGTGTGTGATAAATCAGGAGCACAGTGTAACACACACTGTCTCTGGGTGTGTGCTTGACAATCACATGTCACTTTGGTTTTTACAATATCAACGGTGCCTTTGCTGAGACGTGCACTAACAGTAACAGCTCCACTAATCCTGGCTGATGTAGACCACATGTGCTGGATCCGTTTGCTTCTTTTTCTTCTTAGTGCATTAGTCAAGAGTTCCTTATTCAAACAGACGCTACTCAAAGCCAGTAGGTTAGTAGACTAGATTCGTGGCAAATAGTTGTTGTGTAAATAGTTTCCAGATGTCCCATTTGATTCCTGCTAGGTGTCTGTAATGTAATCCAGCTGCTGTACGTACAATTCGACCCACTTATGTAAATGAAAGTCAGTAGTTGTGTGTGCGTCGGACTGTCATGAAGTGATGGGGGGTGATTTCATAAACCCACAGCTTCTCTATGCTGTCAGAACACTGGAATCATCTAAAGGCCTATTTCATCCATTATTGCCTGAGTGAACCTGATACAAGTCTGGGGGTAAAAATATTAGCAATCTTCTCACTGCCACCACTATTACAACATGATACATGTTTATTCTAATCCCTTTTTCACATTTCACATGTTTTTATATGGTCACTCATACCTGTTCCAAATCTGGGACAATTTCCTCCTCTTCCTCCTGAGTGACCCTTATTTAAATCCTGAGCAAAGCTTCTGCTGCCCCAGTCTAGACAATAAAGTCTTTTATAAGGCCTTAAGCTTCACATCCTTCTGCTCGGGACGTTGAGTGAAAGTATAATCAGCTGTTGCGGCCTCGCAGCTCAACTCCAAAGGTCCATCTTTCAGTCCAGACTGTTTCTAATGATTCTTGGACATTTCCTTCCTTCAGGTCATCCTTCCATCTTTTTGTCCTGTTCATTTCCCTTTTTCTCAACGTTGTCACCAAATGTTTGGACTTTGGCCTCCAGATGTCCCATATGTGGCCTTTGCAGGAATAGAGCAATGAAATGTGGAGGAGTGACGGAGGGGACACCAGTCTGCAGCAAGTTTCCTTCGTGGTTGCAGAAAGTAAATGTGTTTTGTCACTACATCTTGTGTCACAGCATGACATCAATTTAAACGACTTTTATCTATAACAGTGTAGAACTTTATTGTTCAGCTGCCGTAATGAATTACTTGTGTAGTCCCATGTTCATAAAGTCTACTGGGATTAAAAGGGTCCGTGATAGCTCATGGGTGAGTCACTAGAAAAAGAATACAGTTTGACTTAATTGTGGTCTCAGGCTCCTGTTCCACCACAACAGACAGTGTTGTATTGTGAAGCCGACAATGACCTCAAGTTTAAATCCTCTTAAGTGATGTCAGTGAGTAATTTATCATCACTCACAGACATTAACAACAAAAAGAAGACTTGGGTTGTTAAAAAAGGGGAAGGGGTTGGGGGGGTTCTCCTGTAAATAGTTGGGTGTGAGCGTCTGAGCTCTAACTCCTCTACGCTCCTCTCTGACCTCACCTGACAACCCAGTTAACACACACAAGGCCTATGAACTGAAATGAGCCATAAATATGGGTAAAGAGCGAACACACCCTCAGTTGGAGACCAAATGGTTAAGTTGGGAGGGGTGACAGCACTTTAACCGTCAGGAGGACGACTTCAATCTCTACACTCAAGAGGGGACAGAATGAAAGAAGCAGAAAAAAAGCTGGGCTGGCAGGAGGGTAGGCAACCCAAACTCTGAAAGGACATCCCAACTGACACACCATCGCTCTCCCACCCACAACAACACAAGCTCCGTCCTCTTAGTTCCACCAGTGCATGTCTAACGTGCAGCCCTGGTGGGAATCGGACCAACAACAATACAAGACTAGTCAGGTTAGCTCTGTCTCGACCACATCTGAGCCACCGAAGCTGTGGACAATCATCATCACACCTAATCGCTGGAAGAGCAAGCAATCGTCACCTGGCTGCATGCAGACAACTCAAACCAGCAGGAGCAGGTAAAGATGATCTTATCTTTCTTTTGTCATAAATCAGTTTGAATGAGGAGGAGTTAAACGCTTAAAGAAAATAAACAGCTCATGGTTACGATCACTGTGTTTATCATCACCATTGATGTGAACCTTTTCAGCCTTTCAAAGCCTAGAGGTTGAGACAAAAATGATGTTAGCGTTGTCTTTTTTGTTTCAGTCACCTTTTAGTTTATAACATCAATATCTGGATGCCCACATTTGTAATCAATCAATTCACAATCTTTTCACCCGGCACTATGTAAAAAACAGCTGAGGTTGTTGGACACGCATCTTGGAAAGTCACTGTCACTGCCAGACATGTTTTTTCTTTTCCATACTTTCTCATTACTGGATGCAGTGTAAGCCACGCTAACTCTTCCAAATGATTCAATGTCATGAGGTGGATTTCAGCAAAGCCATCAACTGGAGTCCATCCTGCAAAAGCCCATGCAGCCCAAATTCAACCAGCGGTGTAATTAACATAGCTGGCTCAGACACAAAGCCCCTGGCAGGAAATTAGCATTATCATATTCTTCTGCATGTGTTTCTCTTTAGTCGGTCAGAGTGATTGTACCCGAAATTTGTTTTTCTGTTATGAATGTTCTGTTTTTCAGAGATCTGTAAAGTCTGACTCATCATTTTTAGCAGCTGCAGTATTTAATTGTGAATGCACACATCGTTAATGGCTGTTGTTTTGTAAATAGGATGGAAGGGTGTCCGGTCTGTGTGGGAAACCACAACCAAGTTCAGTTGAATCACACTTCCTTAATTGTATTTTTTTTTTTTTTACTTTATTCACATTTCTGACAAATTGGATAAGTGTTATTCTCACTCTGTAAAAAGACTCTTAAGATTCTTATCACATTGACATTTCCATTGATTCTCAATTTACTCCACACAGCTTTTATGAGGCTGTTGGGCCTGTAGCAGTCATAGCCAGATGGAGTGGAGGTGTATTTTCAGTGTAGAGGTTACAAGCCAGCTGTCCTGTTACTCAACATGGTGCATGCTAAGTAATTGTAAGGTCAAAAGCCTCTGCAGTCTGTCAGCAAACGGTGTCATCCTCAGAGAGCTTATCAATCATATACCTGTACTTCAACAGGAAGAATTCGCCATCTGTAAACAAATAGAGATTTTATCATGATACGATAAATGTGTGGAGAGTGGTACTGTCACTTTAGGCTAACCAGCTACATTTGCTTGGACATCACAGGGACTGATGCAAACATGTCTATTCATCTAAACGGCAATTTGTCTTTGACTTAAAGTTCCTTAAATTGTCCCACGCATTATGTCTGTGTGTGTGAGTTACCATGTGCAGAGGAATGACCACGGTTCACAAATGCCCTTTGGCTAATACAGGAGGAACTCTAATGGGCTTGCATGGCTGATGGCAAGTGTTGCTCCTATCCTCACACAAGTCAGCAAGGATTATCCTGTTGCATTCAAGCCTTTGCCGTCATTGCTAGAAATTAGCGCGATCTCATGCTGGCATGTGTAGAGGTCACCAATCCTGACGCTAGCTATCTTCTGTAAAAACAATTTGCTTGGCCAGCGTGCAGTAAAATCCCTTTAGATTAAGTCTGACCTCCCTCCTACAACACCATTACCTCTCATGTCTGCTGACAATGTTTTGTGCCTAAGAACAGTGCGTCTTATTAGTGCTTTGTGCTTTTCCTGTAGTTCCTTCCCTGGTGTGAACATAAACTCACCACAATCCTAAAAGCTAACCATTAAACAAAGAGTCTAACATTCAATTAAACTAACTGTACTCACTTTATTCACAGATTTCCCTCAAGCACTACTTTGAGAACTCTTCTGCTCTATGCATATCCCTTCATCCTCCAGTTCCGGCAAATCTTTCAGCAGAATATTAATGATGCTCCACCTCGTCCCACTACCCAGTACAATGAAGCCATTGCAGTGTCTTTCAGAGCGGCCTTCCACCTGCTTCAAGGTGACACTGGTGGAAAGGAGGTCAACTGTGGCCATGAAAAGACACACACGCCCTAAAATAATACTTATTATACTGTGTGTGTAGATATATCTATATACATATCCAGTGTCAGCCAAATTATGTTCTCTTTTGTGTTGTACTGCATTATCTATAGGTTCTTATTTGTTCATAATTCCACTTTCTCTACTAGTTTGACATGAGACATGATAGTTAATGTGTGCATTTGGTGATCCCATGCTTACAGTCTTGGCTAGATGGCCTCTTGCTGGATCCACTCGTGTGAGTTGTACATTTGAAGACAATATTGTGCACATTACAATATACTGAACTGTATTTTTGTTTTTCTTCTTCTTTATCCCACGTCCTCTGTTGACTGCATTCACTGTAAGACATTAATTTGCTCAATCAACCAGATTAATTAATCCTGATCACACTGTGGACAGAAACAGCACACATTTAGCGCAAAGGTGCAAAGGCCAGCAAGGACTCAGGGATTTGTGAGTGGAGTTAAAAAGAGATCAAGCAGGCACCCAGGGGAGGAAGGGTTGTACATGTGGAAGTCAGCAAACAAAGAACGGGAAGGCTTGCATCAGCCTGTTTCTAAGTGGGCCAAGTCTCATGCACTGAAAAGGCTTAAGTACGCTATACCATTGGATTATGACCTTTGGTCCGTGCAGCGTCTGATTGGCCGAAAAGAGGCTTTAGTGTTATCATGAGTGACAGGCTGGCACACGTTGAATGAAAAAGCTGGAGGTACAAATACAGGGAAGTAAGAGGGATAGCCTCAGCATTTGCGACATCAATTGCTGACTTGCTGAAGGAGGACAGGAAAGAGGGAACTTGCAAAGTTTAAGGTAAGCTTGATATCTGGATGGCGCTGGTAGGCTGTGTGAGTTGGTTTGATAGAAATGCAAGAATGAAACACAGTTTTAGCATTTGTGCACCTCGTACTCCAAAGGTAGTTTGAGAAGCTTTGATCCCTGCACAATGAGATAACAGGGGCACGTCTTTCAGAGCAGATGTGTCGGGTTCACTTTGAAGTGTGCCGATCGATGGCCGACCCAAAACAAATTCCAGCGGAATGTGGAGTGCATCAGAAATTTAAACAAGCAACAGATGGCAGCTGAGAGGAATCAGGTTGAGGCTGAAGAGATGGATGGATGGAAGATGGTAGAGCTGCACTTGGATTTTGTTACTTTCTCCTTTCTTTTTTTTTAATTGTACTTGACATTGTCTCAGGCAATAATGTATCTATCCTCAATGCTTGGCTGAGACGTGTGTGTGATTGTTAGCAATTCTCACTAAATCAGCTCTACAAACCAAAGTAATAGAGCTAAGAGTTGCATGGCATGGTTCATACACTTTGCAATCAAAGCATGACTCATGAAGTTCAGTGTGCATCTTGTAACTGCAAAATTCAAAGGTTTTCCAAATGCAATTAAACCTGACCTGGTTCTGCATCCTGTCTTTGGAGCTTTACTTGTCACTCGCAGACAAAGTGATGACCCTGTAAGAGCAGGCTGCCTTGACCTGCTGGCAGCTGCCACTGGAATTTAAAGATAATGATATTAGCGGTAGAGTAAGTGACACACGCTGGGTTTGGCCTATTTTGGGCAACTGTTTGTATTAGTGAATACTCTGTCAGTTGTTTCAATTGCAAATGAATCCAGCCACATGATTGATAGATTGGTGGAGATTGATAGGCCTTGTTAACCAAGAATTACAAAATAGTGTTCTCACGCGCAAATGGTTGCATGGGTCATCACAGTATTGTCCTAATTCCTCAAAGACCCCAATCCTTTCTAAATGATATCATCTTGTCTGATCCCCTTTACCTTGGATATGGTGCATTCACATGTCTCTTTGTCTTAAGGCCTCTGTAAGAATGATCAGCACCTTTCACAGCTGTTTGTCTCTAATATTGCTTTATCTCCCTTTCTATCATAGATTGGATTTTAAAAATGGCACATCTCACGAGCCTTCTCTGCATCTTGTGCCTGGTTGGGTCCGTCATCAACCAGGACATGCCTTACGAGGAATACATGGCCCAGATCCAAGCCTGCCCTAAAGAGTGTCACTGCCCCCCAAACTTTCCGCGCGCTGTCTATTGTGACAATAGGAGCCTGAAGACCCTCCCCACAATCCCTAGAAACACATGGTATCTCTACTTGCAGAACAATCTAATAGAAGTGCTGTCAGCTGATGCCCTGCGTAATGCCACACAACTGCGCTGGCTGAACCTAAACCACAACAAAATCACAAGTGAAGGAGTGGAAGAAGGTGTCCTGAATGCAATGTCTCACCTGGTGCACCTGTACATGGATGACAACCTCTTGTCTTCAGTGCCATCACCCCTGCCAGCCAGTCTGGAGCATCTACGTCTCTCTCGCAACCGCATCTCCAAGATCCCTGCTGGTGCCTTCATTGGTCTGGATAAGCTGAGCCTCCTGGACCTCCAGGGGAATAAGTTAATGGATGATGCTGTGACTGAGGTGAGCCTGAAGGGTCTAAACAACTTGGTACAGATCAACCTAGCCAAGAACCAGCTGACAAGCATGCCTCTCGGCCTACCACCCACCACCACTCAGCTTTTTCTTGATGGCAACAACATTGAGAAGATCCCAGTCGGCTACTTTAAAGGATTGCCCAAAGTGGCATTTCTGAGGCTCAACCACAACAAACTTGGCAGCAGTGGAGTTCCCAAACATGTGTTTAATATCTCCAGCATCTTAGATTTGCAACTGTCCCACAACCAGCTGACTGAGGTGCCCGTCATTTCCTCAGGCCTTGAACACCTTCTCCTCGACCACAACAAGATCAAAAGTAAGTCTATGATTAATTTCAGTTGTAGATTCATAAAGAAGAGTTATTTTTATGCATCTGTTGCATGTAATGGTAAAGGTGGAATAAGTCTTGTAACCTTGATTTTCTTTCTTGTTTTTCCAGGTGTAAGCGGATCTAATATCTGCCCTGTCTCTATTGACACTGTTGATGACTCTATCAATGAAAGTGTTCCTCGATTGCGCTACCTCCGACTGGATGGCAATGAGATTAAGCCACCAATTTCGAGGGATGTCATCCTCTGCTTCCGTCTCCTGAGGTCCATTGTCATTTAAGAAAAGGAAACTCATCTTCATGTCATTGACTAATTCTTATTTCCCACAATCAATGACGTGGCAATTTGGGTGCTGGTCTAAAAAAAAATTTACTTGTGAAACCTTGAATCAAAATTGGTGACATGAGTCCAACTATTTTACACTAGTTGGCATCAACCCATATTCATTGTTGTGTATCCAGAAAACATGACGATTTCAATTCAGATAAGTAACAACAACGTCTTGAAGGAACTGATGAGTTAGACGCTGACCTGAGGTTCTGGTGCCTTATGTTGTAAACATCCGCATTTAGAATTATGAACCAACATTTCTTACAACACAGCATGACAGTGATTTAGGGGGAAATATGTACTTATGTATGTGAATATCTTAATGATAGTGATTTACTGTCATTATCATTTTATTTAGGCAGAACTTGAATTAATGCATAAGGAAATATACCTTTGTTTTTTTTTATCTGTTGTTTCAGGAAATCTTTTGCTTTGTATCTGTAGACTTGACACCAAACACATATTCTTGTGTTCTTTAACTCTAGAAAATGATTCTGTTCTACAATTATGCATATATAATGTAGGTAATTTATTTTTATTTAATATTAAGAAGAAAAATTGTCCTTGCAAACATTTTAGAGTCCTGTCTATATCCACGGCCAATATTCCTTAATGTTTTGTATGCAAAAGAATGCCAACACTATTTTTTAATTCTGATCATTATTGAAGAACCAGAATTACATGAGCAAGAGATTCAATTTTAATTATCTTCAGTTTGAATAAAATTTCCAAAAATGAAAATGTGATTTTGTCCTTTTTGTTTTACATCTCCAACACTTTCACTTAACTGTAAATTATTTGGTGGAAATAATATTGCTGATTATTTTTTTTAGCCATAAGATTAAAATTACATAGGTGAACATAGAGTAAATTGTCATCCATACAACATTGCCTATGAATAACTGTACTCCATTACATAAGTAAAGTATTTTGTGTGTCTTTCTTGACTCACTCACATCTCTTTGGCCTATAAAACAACATTAACATGAAATAACCTGCACAGATCACCTTCACACATTCTACTCCCAGTCATTTCTTCCTCTTCTCAAATATTTGAAGGCTCTAGATAAGGCTGAGTGATAGGGTACATAATGTTTCTACTGGCACCAACACGGCATCCCAGCTCTCTGTCAATTATCACATGAGTTCCCAGGCTCTGTACAATGCACTCTGTCTCGTACTGTGGGCATCAGTCACTGGGATAAGACATTTGAGGCCAAATTTCATTTAATTCTTTGCCTTTTTGAGAATGTTTGGCAGATGAAAAGCTCTGAATATAAACCCCAGCTTATGTAGCAGGTGCAGACCAATTTCTGGCAGTCCCACTATGTCCTATTCCCCTCACTCGTCAAAAGGTCTCGGGTTACCATCGGAGTGAGAGGAAGAGGTGGGCAGGTTGAAAGTTGTGGCCAAATAAAGCAGACAGGGTGAAATCTCGCCAGCAGCTTCCTGTGTGTCCATTTTTTTTCTTTTGTCAATCGTCACTAATGACAGACTGACTATATGTACATCTCTTTGAATTCATCTGTACAGAGTTGAAAATGCCTTGCTCTGTCCCCAGATCAGCTCATTCTCCATGAAGTCAAACTGCAGCTACCACAGAACATTTAGCAAGTGACGGCGCAAAGAGAAACCAGCTTCAACCAAAAAGGGAGGGCAGAGGCCTTCCTCCAAGCGGGGACTTCCTCTCAGCTCCATGCTAACACGGGCTCCTGACAGAGATCCCATTGTGTACAAGGTTCCCCCCCCCCCATACATGAAAGCAACACATGCCAAAGTTTCACCCCAGGAAAAGTCGGACAAATATTTCAATCTGATTGAGCCGCACTCTTATAAAAATAAAGGAAACTCTTGTAAGGGACAAAAAGGTATTTCGTCACTGGGGGGCCTTCGCTCTCTCTTTCTCTGTACGCCTGGTGTGTGTGTTGTGTGTATGTTTGAGAGGGTCGTGCATGCTGGTGTTCAGTGTGGGGTGGGTGCACTCGGAGTGACCAAAAGCAATCTGCTCTGGTCCAATCAGTCTCAGTGCCTACCTTCACACATAAGCGGCAGGGCACTCAGGTCTGCCAGAGCACACAGACCTACACACCAACACACTCGTCACATTCACACACACACACCTTTCACACACTTTGCACACACACACCCTCCCTCTTCAAGGCACCCTGCGCGACCTCTCACCATTGGCCAAGTCCCGGAGCCCTCAGCATCTCCATCACGGCTGAAGGGACCATTCGGGAAAGCAGGAGACAGAGGTAAGTGTTCTTGGTGCTATCTTCACGCTGGCTCAATGGCTCTGTGGTGCAGGGGATTAGAGGGGCAGGCAGGCTCAACTAGCCCCTTCATAACATGCTGCTAGTCGGGGTCTGCACTGGAGCTTCTGGTCCATTGGTTGGTGATGCAGCTGTTGATTTTCACTCAGGGGTTTGCTTTGGACCCAGGTGTCTGCAATGTGGATGTTTTTCTTATCCTAAAGCAATGATGGTGATTGTGAAATGTTGGCGGGTGGCTTCATCAGCTTCAGTAGATTCAGGTGTCCAACAGGTGGTTTTGGATTTGTGACAACTAACGACTTATTTTAAATTTTTGCTCTTTCTTTACCCAGTTTTGCTCAAAATATCTTCGTCCAATTTAGGGAAAAAGTGATTAAAAAGTATTGCTTTGTTGTTAACATTTTTTATAGATCCCCTCTGAAAACAGAATCTATTTTTCTCTAACCACTTTAAATTCTTTGTCACCTGCTTTTTGAAAATACCTTTTAACTTTTTATATAAGACAAATGTACCAGTTTCCTCTGCAACAAGCAGTAAAGGGACGTCTGTCATGTTTGCTTGTGGCTTTTGAGGGAAAAAGGTAGAATCGGTGGATATCAGGAATGCCTAACGTGGAGCCAAACATAACACAGAGGTAGTCCGGACGCTACACTCACTCACACACACACACAGTTTTCCACACACTGCACACTGTGATGGCCTGTATAAAAGCACACCTCTGTCTCCAGCATAGTCCTTCTTTCAGTGTAGACATGCTGGATTTCTCAGGCTCGTGATAGAAAGTCAGTTCACTGGAGATGCTGGACTCGTCTTTTTTCAGTCGGGTGCACAATATTCATGTTAATGTAACAATAAAGAAATTGATTTGCATCGTTTGAGTCCATCGCTCTCATATCCACAAAGATCAGATTGACGACTTAAATAACTCAGGGATGGTGTGTTTTTTTTGTTTTTTTAAAATCTGTCCTCATCCTAAAATAGCAGAGGTTTCTCCCCCTCTGAGAAGATAAGTGTGTATAGATACAGTGTGTGTCTGTGAGGGGATGTGTCTTTCCAAGTGTGTGTGTGAATGTGTACATGTGTGTGTGTGTGTGTTTGACTGCTGAATGAAGCTTTTCCTTGCAGCCGTAATTCACTGCCATCCTGTCCACAAACCTCGGTGGAATTTGGAGTTTGAGTGCTGAGACATGCAGCGAGCGGGCCTCATAAAGCCCCTCTGTAAAGGGCGAGGGGTCGAGTTAGCTTAGAAACCTGTCTCTCTCTCTCTCTCTCTCTCTTGCGCTCTCTCCCTCAGTCTTTTTTCCTCACTCTCTCCATCTAACCCTGAGGGCCAGCATCTTGTCCACCTCTCTCTCCATCTTGCTCTTTTCTCCTCTTCCTCCCTTCCCTCGCTCTCCATTTCTCTGCCCAGGCCTGGAGGACTTTCTTGACACTGTTTCAGGCTTGCAGCAATGTGGCTACACCTGCCGTCAGTGTGCTGTGAAATAACCCCCACTCACAGATCATTAATGTCTAATATCTGGGATGCAGCTAATTAAGTGGTAATTAAATATACTAATCCTAATACAGCTTCACAGTTGTTATTCACATTTTTGAAGTTAATCAACCTCGCTAAGATTAGCAGATCTGAGGGAAATGAGTTACTATCTAGGTCAGAGCAGCACGTAGTAGATCTACACTCAGTGAAAGTCATACCGGCTAATTCTATATTCCTGTAGAGAACGAACATCTCGTGTGTGCCCTCACTTGAAATGTATTGGCCTAGAATCTGGATGCATGATTCTGCCAAAGCCTTGGAAGAAACGATCGAAGCCTCGGCCAAAGACACAGGAATTCAAACAGAGCTTTGTCAGGGTTTTACTGCAGAAGGAGCGACGCAAAAACTCTGCTCCTCTGAATGCATTTAGTGAAAATCCTAAAAGGCAGACAGTAGATTTTCGGTAGATGTTCAGCTCTGCAGAATCCAGAAAACGTCCCCATGGTTCCTCATCACATCAGCCATGACTTCTGACTTTTGTCATGCCACTGGAAAGCAGCGATTTAAGCCAAGATGGCTGCTCCCTGGAACAGTGATCGTCCGGCTCAGTGAGGCGTGAGGCCCTCGTACTCTGATCTCTTGAGCTGTCTGCACCTCAGTAATGAATTCACCAACCTTAGTGATGTGACACAAAGCCAAGCCCTGATCTGTAGCAATATAGAGATGCTATACTGGTAATGGAGCCAATATGAGTAAGACCCGTCCTGCTGCAGTGCACCGATGTGGAACTAATATCCTCAGCAGCCAAGTTTAAAGCTGATTATCTGAAATTGTTTGTGAAAGTTTGCCACGTTTGTTTTTAATTTTAAATTATTTTGCCAGTAACGTGGGTGAAAGTGATGTTCCCTCCTCGATCTTACCTCTGTCTGTCTGTGTCCAGGTGGACTATGAGGATGCTCGTGCGGCTCGTGTTGGGACTCTTCGTCCTCAAAGCGGTGGTGGCCAGCCCCAGATTTTCCCGACAAGTGGACTTGGACTCATACGATGGTACCAACTACGATGTGGATCTAGACAATTTAAATTTGGTGAACCAGGATATCTATGACTACGAAGATGGGCTGACAATTGATGATCCTCAGGTAAGAAACTGTACAGGTTCAAGACCATTTCAGTGATTCACTCTGGATTTATTTCTGTTTTCCTGGGGTCATGCTATGTTGCCATTTATTCTACTGAGTAGAAAGACAGAAAAACTATATGTGTTACCTTCTCACCACCAAAAGGTCGACCAGGATGTCTATGATTCAGCTGCTTAGGAGATAGATATAATCTTTGAAAGACGGTGGAGACCAACACCGGAGCTAAAAGAGAGGAAATAGTGTGCTAACAGTCACCAGGTGGCTTAAAACATGATTCCAAATGAATGCTAATATGAATGATTTAATTGGCAACTGTTTGCTAACAACTTTGCTTTATCTTACAGGTGATGTAATATGTCAGAGTTATGCTGATAGAAAATTTGACATGTGGGGCTGACGGATCTGTCAGTTTAGTTGTTTGACTTTAAACATAAATATGCTCAATATCTTGAGCTATTTCTGGAAACCGTGGGGTGACAGACAGATACAAGCTGCTCAAATTCCTCCGAAATCCAGATTTTCTTCAGATTTCACAAATCACAGCTGTGTTGGTGGAATAACTTGCTGGTTTTGATCTGAGGTCACCAGGTTCAGGGAGCAGACAGGCACCCTGCTGATACCAACAGGAGCCATTTGGAAAAAGGACAAACCGCTTTACAGCTTTACCCAAAATACTTCACATTCATACTTTGGGCAGGCTCCACTTTAACTTACATTCCCCGGAGTCCATCTGTGTGTGGAGAAGTTTTATTCCTGGAATCAAACAATATTTGTGAACATGTTTTTATCTTC